CCTTTTTCTAGGAATCTCCGCTCACCGACGCTGTTCCCACCTTGAGATCCTGCCTGTTCTACCCCCCAATAATCTGTGATCAGGGACAAAGAGTCTCCTACACCTTTCACTTTCTGACTGATTTCATTGCAGCATAATCACCTCAATATCCATCCATTTTGCGCCAAATGGTACCACTTCATCTTTCTTCAATGCTGTATAATACTCCTTTGGATATATGCTCCAGTTTCTCTATCCAGTCATCTGTTGAAGGACACTTGGGTTGGTTCCATGATGTGGCAATTGTAAACAGTGCTTTTATGTACATAGGTGTAAAATTTTTCAGATTCATTTTTTCATGTTGTATAGTAAATGCCTAACAATAGTATTGCTGTATTAAATAGGATTTCCATTTTTATTTTCTTGAGATAGCTTCATACTTTTTCTACAAGTATATCACCCATCTAAAATATATATTTTTTGATGATTCTCCTAGCTTATTAAATGAGAGGCAAGGAGATATAGTCTGAGGTACAAAATGTGAGTGACAAAATTAATTCATGCTTTGAATGGAGGCTGATGAATTTTGCCTGTCTTTCCAGCCCTTTTAACACAGAAAAAGGCCGACTAATTAAAATTGACAACAACAGGCCCTCCCTGGTGGCGCAGCCGGTTAAAGCACTGCACTGAGAAGCTAAAGCCACTTTCGCATGAGTTCGATTCCCGCCTGTCCCGGAGGTGACCACATGGCGTGGCAGACTTCTCCTGACCCGCCCGCTGCTCCCCTCAGCAGTATACTTCATGGATCTGCCTGTTCTGCTCCCCACTCTATCTCTGGTGAAGCCTCTCATCACCCTTGAGTTTCTGGCCTGTACCCCAGGTCTGTATGTACAAATAAATAAATCTTTAAAAAAAAAAAATTGACAACAACAACAACATTTTTTTTCAGTAACTTCAGCAGTAAAACATTGAGTCTTCCATATTAACAGTCTTAATTCGGTCCACCCTGGCAATGGGTTAGGACATCACATGTAAGCTGGCAGCAGCCATTTCAGTGCGAGTTCAATCCCTAGGCCCGGAGGTGATCCACATGGCCTGGCAGACCTCTCCTAAACCATCTGTTGTCCCTTCAGCAGTGTACTTCATTGATCTGCTCACTCTGTCTCTCTGGTGAATCCTCTTGCCACCCCTATACCTCTGGCCTGTACCCCAGTTCTGTATGCATAAATACATCTTTTAAAAAAATGATTAAAATTGTTAAGTTTTATTTTTTAAGTCTTAATTTCAACTTGAAATGATCACATATGTATAAATTTAGGCCTCGCTTTTTCTACTACTCAGGGGGAAGTTTTCCTATGAATTCCGTGCATTGGTTTCATGTACTTGTATTATTGCATACTAAGAGCTTCTTGGAAAGTATTATGTATTAATATTTGAAGTTCACATTTATGCATTTATTTTATAACTGAAGTATTAATGCACAGGACCAAGAGGAAAACTGGAGCAGGTATCCCTTTTGGTCTTAAATAAACTGACTAATCAACAAACAAAAAATTAAGGAAAAGAATTCACTTCTGAGCCACATGCTTCCTTCCAACTGTAAGGACAAAAATAAGTTTCTATTAATGGAGATTGACTTTGTCCCTTCAAAATAAAATCTTCAGCCTTCTATGTACATCACAGGAGAACAAATTTGTTCATCTGACCACAGAGGAGCTCATTAATGTTAAGTGAAGATCTGAGCAAAGTTCAAAACAAAATTACAAAGTAAAAGTAAAAATTGTATACTGAAAATTGGACTATGGTGGAGATTTAATGAGAACTGACCCCTGATATTCACCCATTCATATATAATGATTTTTGCAGATGCTACTTAATGGTTTTCACTTCTGCATTTTTTGCAAGCCCTGGAATCCATCAGATCTGGAAGCAAATATTTCAACAGTTCCCAGAAAATTTCTGGCTTACCCATATCCAGGAAGTTATGTGAGTCTCATGAGGAATTCTGTTCTTGTAAGAATTATGATCCATTTTGCAAATTCTGAAGAGTTGAATTAGGGTCAGCAGTAGCTACTATTTACTTATTGCCCACTACGTACCAAAATTGTGCTAAACACTTTACCTGTATCTTGTTGTTTAATTCTTAAAACAACCATATCAAGTATAAATTATTATTCTCCATTTTCTAATGAGAACTCTGAAGCTCAGTTAACTCAGAGTCATATAGCCCAGTAAGTAGCAGAGCTGGGACTGAGATTCAAGTCCTAAAGATTATATTCTAAACCATCATTCAATACTGCTCCCAGTACATATAGCAAGATTCTAAGAAAAGAAAGCAGTTAAAATTGTTTTGTCATGTGTTTTTAAGATAATCTTGAATTGATTGGAGATTAAACACATCATCATGATTATTATTGTGATCTTATCAGCATCATTTAAGATCTAGTGATCCGTGGTACCATACTAAGATCTATGGGCATGGACAACATAGAAGCATAGATGCAAATTTGCAAAGAATATGACGTCAAGAAATAAAGTCAACCATTGCAAGTACCACCAGTGCTATATATTAAAGTTGCACAAATAATGAGGGTGAAATATTCACACACATCAATTTTTTATAGGAATCCAGGCCTGCCCTTAGCTTAAGTTTCCTTGTGATTCTAACCCCTTTTCTTTGGTCTTTTCCTTATCCTCATGTTAGTCCTTCTCCTTTGATTCTAATGACTATTTGCTTAAGAAATATTTCTAAAATAAAATGTTAAATTTGAGTTTAATTCTGTTTAACAAAATCAAAACGTTTTCTGTATAAAATGTTGGATTCAAGGACAAGGTAGAAGTACCTTCCCAGGTAACGTATAGTGGTATGGATGAACATTCCTGCCCTACTAGCTTTTTTAAACTGAGGTAACATTGCTTTACAACAGTGTTCGTGATTCACGGGTATAGGATGTATGTTATCACCGCCCCCCACCCGCCCCAGGCACACATAGCCCTTCACCATACTGTTTCTCTCACACACTTTGTTTTGTTTTATTACCTAACTTTTCCCCTTTGGAAGCTCACTTCTACAGTCAGACTTATAGTTTGTTATTAGTTTGGTTTTGTCCAACACTTTGTTTTCTTTCTTGATATTCTACATATAAGTGAAGCCACCTAGTATTTATCTTTTCCCTTCTGACTTATTTCACTTAGCATTATTCCCTCCAGCTCCATCTAGTTTGACTCAAGTGGCAAGAGCACATCCTTAATTTTTAATAGCTGAGTTATATTCCACATCTTCTTAATCCACTCATTTATCCTTGGGTACTTAGGTTGTTCCCATAACATAGTTATTGGAAGTAGGACTGCAGTGAACATAGGAATGCATATTTCCCTTAAAATTAGTGGTTTTGTACTTTTGGGTTTCAGTGGTATTGCTGGGTCAGATGTTGTTAGGCTGTTTTCCACTGGGGCTAGACAAGTCTGCATCTCCCCAACAGTGCACAATCGTTCCTTTTTGTTTACATCCTTTACAGCACTTGTGATTTCTGGTCTTGTTATGGGCCCTTTTCGTAAGCATGAGACGGTGTTTCATTGTGGTTTAGAATTGCATTTTCCTGATGATATGTGTTGATGGCACGTTTTTCATGTGCCTGCTGAACATTTGTGTATCTTCATTGGAGAAGCGTTATGTTTGGCTCTCCTGCCCATTTTTTAAATTATGTTATTTGTTTTCTTTTTGTTGATGTAGATTATCAGTCCTTTGTTGGATGTATGAGGAACAATTTATTTTCCTCTATTAGTGCGGTGTCTTTTGTTTTAATGTTAGTTTCAATAAACTAGATTTTTTATGAATAGTTTTAATAGACACCTATTATTTCATATATGACATCATTCATAATACCTTAATTTACTATTACTTTAATAGACACTCATTAAAATGTTGCAGATACATTTTCTCTTATGGATGACAAATATGCTTAACAAGTGAGAAAACAAATGGAAAATAATATAGATAATTCATGCTCAAGTCTGAAAAATAACATGCATAGAAGGAGAATAATATATCAAATTTATATGAACAGTGAACTCTTGGTAATACTATAGCAATTTTCTATATTTACTATATCTAAACCAAATTTTTTTTTTTACTAAGCTTATCTATTTATAAACTGATGAATTGTTTCTTTAAAAATATTGACATAGGCCCTCCCTGGTGGAGCAATGGGTTAGGATGCAGTACTGCAAGATGGCCACAGCTGCTTCTCTGTGAGTTCGATCTCCAGCCCTGGTGGTGACCCAGATGGAGTGGCAGACCTCTCCTGACACTCCCGCTGCTCCCCTCAGCAGTGTACTATGTCAATCTGCCTGTTCTGCTCCCTGCTTTCTCTCTGGTGAATTCTCCCACCGCCCTGGCACCTCTGGCCTGTACCCCAGTTCTGTAGGCACAAATAAATCTTTTTAAAAAATTGACATAAATAACCCTATATTTTTATAAACTGTCTTTTAAAAGCTGAGATACAGCAGGAATTTTAATTATCATAATAAAATGAAACCTAAAATCTTTGAGAGAAAAGACTGCATGCTTTAAAAATCTTCCTTCCATCACAGATGTTTTGTTCCATCAACTTTTGTTTTGTGATTGCTGTTATACCAAGAGACTGTCTGACTAAACTTCTAGACTTAAATTTTAGTAATCAAGCAGAACAAATAGAAAAAAAATTCTGAGTCCTTTATTGTCCCTATGAAACATTTCTGGTCTGTACTTTTCCTCTTTTTTAATGAGACTATTGAGCCTGATAAAAATCAGCACATTGTATGGTCTTTTAAAGACCAGGCAGCAGATGTAAGGCAACACAAGACTGAGGAAGACAATGTGGTAAAGAGGCCACTGGAAGTTTGAGTAAAAGACCTGGGAATTATGGTTGGCAGCATCTCAGACAGTGAAAGTGTGCAGCTGCCAAGACCACAGAAACTGACTTTGAAGACTGAAGGGGCTCTTTTTCTGCCGAAGAACAGGTGAAAGTTACTTGACTTACCACCATTTGCATAAGCTTGTCAACCTTGCCATCAACACTGCTCCAGAAGCTCAAAACTGGCACCCAAAGATTCTGAAACAGATCAAAACAGGTAGCATCAGAAGGTAGCCAGGCAGTTGCAAAGCTAATGCTGCCATCCTTTCGCCAGGACCCGAGCCCAGGCTCTGTTTCGGCTCTGCTAGCAGAGACTGTCATTTGGAAGGCAGCTCTACTGGGACTTTCCCGTTTTGATGGAGGCTGCAGCCATCTGTGTTCTTTCATACACAGTTCTTTCTTCTGTTGTGTGAGCTTCAGTCCTCACCTATGGGGTATGAGAAGATAAACAGAAAGGCCGGATCCTAGTAGATGAAAACTTCCATATGGGTAAGAAAAACACACACAAAAAAATTCTCAACAGGGCCCTTCCTGGTGGCGCAGCGGGTTAAGCACAGCACTGAGAAGCTAAAGCCACTTCTGCATGAGTTTGATTCCCGCCTGCCCTGGAGGTTACCACATGGTGTGGGAGACCTCTTCTGACCTGCCCGCTGCTCCCCTCAGCAGTGTACTTCATCGATTTGCCTGTTCTGCTCCCCACTCTGTCTCTGGTGAAGCCTCTCACCGCCCCTGAGCCTATGGCCTGTACCCCAGTTCTGTATGCACAAATAAATAAATCTTTAAAAAAAAAATTCTCAACAAAGATGGCAGAGTTCTCTAGATATATTAGGAGACAGATGTGGTTTCAAATTATGAAGACATTTTTGCTTTTAAAGTAATTTTTGCTCTTTTTAGTTATTGTCACCACCATCATCTACTGTAGGATGCTTTACAGTGGACAAAACACTTCCATGTTATGTGCATTATTCCATTTAATACTTATAAGAACCCTACACAAATTCCAACCATCTTTTTAAAGATGAAGAAAGCAAAATTTAGAAATTATATGATTTTTCTAGATGCTAATCAAAAAGCAAATCTAACTCATAATTTTAAGTTGTTGTCTTTCCATTTGCTCCTAGAACTGACATATTCTAATACATCGTTTGTCCCAATTGACAAAATTGTGGGACTGACTTTGTTCATAGTAAAGTGCGTCCCATATCATCTGAAACTTCTTTTGGGCACTGGGACTCTGCAGCTGTCAAAGAAATCACACCTAGAAGTCTAAGTAGAATAGGAAAGATTCTGGGATACTGTGCTTGGGTTCAGGATACTATTTGAGCCTATTAGCACTTTCCAGACTGGCAAACTGTTGGCAATATTTACCCTTCAGTTTGTCCTAGCTCCATAAATACACATTTTCCCAATGCTTCAACTTTGGTAGTAAAAGAAGAAAAATATTATTTTAGGCTCAGAAGCAAAGACTAAGAGGTTATGGGCAGAGAATATATCATCACAATTCTGCAAATTTTACTTAGGCCCTGTAAACATTTCCAGTTCCCAGAGCCCATGTGGAGTTTCTTCAAAGAACGCTAAGCCCTGTTTGTAAGTCAAAAAGAGCACCTTTACCCTGATAACACTGCTATGTCAAACTCTGAAAACACAAAACTGTCAAATGTCAACAGTTTGTGGAGTGGGGTCAAATTAGCATTTCCTTTAGAGAATTTGCTCCAGCTTTTCCTGTTAGGGGCTCTGGCACTCAAAGAAAGGCCAGGCTGTTTGTTTTCCTTAGGCCTGGATGAGAAGGAGCCACACTGTTGTTCTCAAAGGATAGTAATATTACTTGGTGGCAAAAGTAAGAGGAAGATGAAAATTCCCAGTTTTAGGAGGATTTAATTCCCACCCTCCATTTTTGTTGACTTATTTAGTACTACACAACACTTAGAAAATTGTTAAAGACAAAAAACATAAGTGAAATTGTAGCTGAGTCTGTACAAAAAAGTACATTTTTGCAGGATTTCATGTTTTTGTTGCTAACATTTATTGTCTGCCTTATTTAAGGCACTGAGGGATGGGAAAAGATGACTTAAATTATTCCTCTGGTAGGACTTTCCTGCTCCTCTTCAGGACTGTGGAAGGTAACCATTTGCTATGCTTCAGCAGTAGTCAACATTTACCTAATCAGAACAGTCATTCAAAAAAGAGTTACTGAAGGTTTTAGTGGCAGGCAGTGTGCTAGGTCTTGAAATATAGCATCTCTCCTACTATCAATAATAAGTGAGCAGCCCGAGGGCTGAGTTTTAAACAGAAATTATATGTATTGAAATGATAAAGTCTATCTCTACTGAAGAAAATGGTGTAGCCTTGGTAAGGCAGGAGTTGTGGCAGGAAAAGGTGGGCAATTTCTCCCATCCTAAAATTAAACAGCTCAGAAGGTTTTAGGTATTTGCACTTTGAGTCAAAAACTGAAGTCTTTCAATGGAAATTCAGTTAGCTTAGTTGAGCCATGGGTTTACCCAGACTGAAAGGCTGTGAGAGAATGATGTCAGCATGCACATCAGTGTAGCAAGATTTACCTAAAGGAATGAGAATGTGTCACCAAACAAGAGAAACAAATGCAGGTAAACGAAAGCCAGTAAATCTGCATTTACCTTGACAACCACACACAGAAACATTGTATGTCTCGGTTCCAGAACTGAAAAGGAAAATCTTTATTTTAGTTGTTTTAGAAGGTTGACTTCCTTTTGCTACCTCACTCTTTTCATTTGTCCTGGCCTTTATTCAGGAGGAGCCTGGAATGAAATGCCCAGTCTTACTGGTGGCATGTGGGGTATGCGGTACTAAAAAAAGGCAGACTAAGATTAAGTCACAGAGTTCTTTAAAAACATGGCCCTCCCTGGTGGCACAGTGGGTTAAAGCACAGCTCTGAGAATGTAAAAACCACTGCCGCATGAGTTCGATTCCCACCTGCCCCGGAGGTGACCACATGGCGCGGCAGACCTCTCCTGTCTTGTCCACTGCTTCCCTCAGCAGTGTACTTTGTCTGCTCCCCACTCTGTCTCTGGTGAACCTCTCACTACCCCTGTACCTCTGGCCTGTACCCCAGTTCAGTATGCACAAATAAATAAATCTTTAAAAAAAAAAAAAAAAAACAAGGGACAGTTTGGGCTCTGTGGTCAGCTTACGATTCATTTGCTTTTTATCTGTATTAAATTATGCATTTTCCCGAAGTCAATACTTTTCTCTTGTAATTCAGAAAAGTGAATTCCCTCACTGAATAGTCCTTTTAGGCACTATGAAAGCCATAACTGTAAGGCTCAATTTTTCCACTTATAAAACAGGTACTCCTCTGCTCTGAATAGTTAATGCTATTCAGACATATAGATCCTTGTTTTCCTTTCAGAAACTTTAATAGTCAGTCAAATTGGCCCAAGAAAATAAATGGAAACAGGTCAAGTTGAACTCTGGGCTTCCTTTCCTTTCTTTTCACTGCTGTTTGCTTTCTGTGCTGATTTCTTTATGCTCACTCCCATACTTCCTTTCTCCTCTTAGTGAGCTAAATAGTATAAAAAATTGGACTGATAAGTTTTTAGGATAATAAACCATGAGAACACAAACTTGTATACCTAGCCCCAATTTCATGGTAACTGCTCTAGTATCACTGAAAATGATGCTGCTTTCTGCAGGATCCATAATGGTGTTTTGGTTGTCAATGAAGGAAAAATGGCCTCCTCCACTTTAATTAGCAGATGTGATCATCTGAAGATTTGCATTAGCTGCCTCTTCTCAGACTCAAAGATCCAGTCATCGATTCTTCAGCAAGAAGGAGGATTCGATTGTTTTGAAATTTATTTATTTATTTATTTATTTTTGGATTGAGGTAATGTTGGCTCACATTGTTGCTGGAACTATCAAATATAGGATCCCACTGCAGATCAGGTATCCTCACTGTCGTGCACCTGTTACTGACCACCCATAGACCACCATGGTGCATTGTGTTCTAAAAAGGAGGACTCTAGAGCTGGTAAACAGCTCATGGCAAGAAAGGTATCTGATTATGAGTATTACTCTGTGTATTCTTTTGATTCCACAGGCAAATCAAGAGTCTGAACAGTATTACCTTCATAGTATTATGATTCATAAAAATTTCTTACTTGTAAATTAAAACTTAAGAAATTTCTGGATGGTTTCCTTTACATTTTCTATTCCTTGTCATTCTCTCTATGAGAGAAGGTGGCATAATTTCCCCCTTTATTGTCACCTCTTACTGGGCAGCAGCACTGGAAGCTGCATGGGATGAGGGTAAGATGACTTAAAGTTCTTATGGAGCAATGAAGAGTTTAGAGGAGCTACACCAGAAGCAACTGCAGCCCCCATGCAAAGGGGGCATCTCCTATTCATAGGAATCAGATACCAAGGTGGGGCAAGTACTTAGGGAATGCACACACCCAGGGAAGCAGCTATTGGGGTGGTGCATTAGGGTGGGTAACCAGGGGCTATTGCCTGGGGGGCCCCATTTTCCCTGCAGGTCAAAGTGCATTATACCTGTTCTAACACCTGCCTGCTGTTTTTAGCAGATATTGGTTTCCAAATGTGTCCCTCCTAACAGGACTTTTGTCCCTGTAAGAGGCCCGCTGCATGACCTACACTCTGACAAGCAGGAACTCTGGGCTCCAAGACAATATCCCCCAAAACAAGGGGCCTGTGGATCCTACACTCTATCCTCAGATTTTTCTCACTTACACTCCTATCACTTAGGTGACTGATTAGGTTTGTTCACCTAAAACCAAAAGCTTTACATCTAGAATAAATTCATGTTCAAGAGAGTTCTGGGACTCTCTGGTCATCAATAGATTTTTTTCTCAATTGGTATTTTATAGCATTTATGATACTTGATAAATGATGAATGTGCCAGTATCTCTAGTTTCACTGAACTTCAGTGAATTTTAAATAACTGTTTGTTGGTATACTCTGACACACAACATCTCTATTAAATTGCCTTTGGAAACGCTATAAAATTCTAACATGCTTCAGAGGATTAAATGCAATGTCATCTTATAAAGATTTCAGAACCATAAATATTGTTGAACCAGGCTTGGGCAAAATAATAGGAATAGTTATTGAGAACATATATTTTTAAAAGTCTCATATATGGAAATGATTTCAAACTTTAGAAAGTAGAAAGAAGTAAAGCAGTAAAACAAATGTTAAGTGGCTTTTTACCAAGATTCACCTATTATTACCACTTACCCTGCTTGCTTTATCATTTTTTTGCACTCTTATTTAATGCCTACCATTTTGCCATGTTCTTTACCTGCTTTCTATTTCTAATTATCATCCTAACCTTGTATAAGATCATCTGTATTTTACATATAAAGGAACTAAGACTTAAGTGATAGGTGGAC